CTCTCCCACTATGAACTATTTTCCTCCGTCTCAAGGAGGAGAAGAAAATAAGAAGAGGAGCTAACTTGTGCTATCTGCTTCCCTGCAATTAATCGTTAATGACACAGGAGGTTCTAATAGAAATGATGTCGACAAATTAAAACAAAGCTACATTAGTTACATCAAATCACCTTGTAAGAACTTTGTTTTCACCGTTTTAACTAGTTCCTGGTGTCTTAAAGATCCAGAATCTAACATAAAGATGTTTAATATTTAGATGGCCACTTGTATGTATTCTTTCTTCATCTTCCCTCTTTCATCTCACTTATTTCGGTTCCCATGTAACTAGACATTATACTATAATCGGTCTGTAAGTAAAATTTAGTTTCGCTTTCAGTGTGATGTGATTGCGTAACGCACAAGTTAATACCATAAAAAAAAACTAGATTTTGATTATATTTTTCGATTAGCCATTTTCTTGCAAAAGATATAAATGTTCCACCAAGAGCATAACTGAAAGGGGGAGCAAATAGTTTAAATTACATATTATGAAGAAACTTAAACTTATATAATGGAAATTTGATAAATGGAAGTTCATGTACGATGGAATGACTGTTTTAGGTAACAAAAACATACTTTAGAAAGGTTACGTTTCGTGTATGTGTAATTTACTCAATATATGATCATAATTTATATTTATGTTTTAGGTCGATCATTAAATTAAACAAACAGATTCATAAAAATCTAATAGTGATAGTATAGAATACACACAGACTAGTGCAACCTTAAAATATCAAAATCAAGCTCTTCAAACTTAAACTTCAAAGTTGTAAGTCTACAAGCATACCAGTACAAACGTGGTTTCTTAACCGTGAAGGGCAAACAGGTAGAATAATATATTAAATTGTTAAGTCACGTTGTTGATTTGGCTCGTTAAGCTCTATAAAAACTTAGAAGTCGCTTGTTTAGAACTACGATTATAAGTGTAGTTGTAGGTTTTGCATGCCCACGATTTATACGTGACGATATTAGGTTACACTGTCGTGATTTGTTTAATAGGAACTTGATATAATTAGCTTATTCATTTTATGTGGCGACGGATAAGGAGTGTCATAACCCTTAATCATACCGTGGGTGTCATAAGTGCTGACTGAGGTGGTAAACTACGCAGGACAACAGCACTGTATAGAGAAGGAAAACTCAACACAAAACCTTTTTTTTTAACGTGTGGAAACCCCCTTGGGCCGTCACCCCACCGGGTTGCGCGGCGTGGTGTGCGGCAATCGAATCGACTAAAACCACATGATATGCTATTCCGCGAGATAGTAGGGGTCCGGGAACAACTGACATTAAAACATCCGGCAAACCATATACCAACCCGTCTGGCCAGCGTGATGAGCCTCCTTTCTAAGGAGAGGCTTATGTCCAGCAGTAGACTATTAGAGGCTGTTGATGATGAATGATGATAAACAGTCAACGGTTGTTTATAGGTTTATCAAATAGAGGTTTGTGAGCTTGATTATTATTATATTTCTTCGATGAAAAAAAAATAAAAGAAAATAAACATATAATAACTCAAGAGCCCTTATAGTTGGCAATATTTTTCTGTTTCTGCGTAATTTATGTAAATTTTTACATATGTGTGTACGTACATTTTGTTAGTGAAAATAATATTTTATGTGAACACGTTTTGAATTATAAATATATTAAAACGTTACTCAAATAAATTACAGTTGGCAAAATACTTGTAGACGTATTAAACACTTGTGTTGCCTAATCCATTCAGGGATGGGAATGTGATGGAATGAAACATTCCATTTCTAAAAATACTTTGCAATTAACCGTTAGTTTAAAGAACCTGGCCCGTATTAGAATAAAATACGCAGTTCCACCAGTTTGCATCGTAAGACGTTGGCGATTAAGTAATTGAAGAACTTCAACTAAGTATGTACATACAGCCGAGAATTGTAGCTTTATGTAAGGACATAAATACTTCATTTCATTTTAAATTTATTGATGCTTTTTGTCTCTACCATTGTTTTAATTATTAAATAATTCACACAGATACAAGATATACTTTCATTTATATACAATGGCTAAGACAACTTAAAATGACGATACTTAACTGATTTTAGTAGCGCTTTCTAACTTACTAACGCAACAAATATTTCCCTATGTTAAATAGCTTTTTTTCATATATGAAGGGTCAACACCCTTTAAAAAAATTAAGTTCAAATTAATTGAATTGGAATATTAAAAAGTCGGTTAAAACTTTACATGAAAATTGACTTATAAATTATTAATTACTAATATTTATTTCTTACTATTGAGTTATTATTAAAGTTGTTAAATGCCAATTAGTAAGCTAAAGAAGGCGTTAGTTATCACGTAGGTTTTCACTGAATATTTTGCAGGACAGAATCATTATAGCTTGCAAAAATTACGATTTAAATTATGATTTAGTTTTCGAATACAGTTAATGGACTGATAATTCAGGAAATTTATTTGTGTGTTCATGAAAAACAATCCTAGGAAGAGATAAGATTTAAAATATTTGTAAACATATTTTCGTTTATGTTTAATATAATATTAAAATAAATAAGATAAAGATGTTGAACACAGAAGTTTCTCGATAATTCCCACATCTAATTGAGGTCATATTTACACAATCTGTTTATTAGACTGCAAACGGTTTATTGGTTAATAACTAGGGGATGATTGATGTCAAACCATCCCTGGGCCTGACTACGCTTGAACATTAAATGACACTTGAAGTATATTCCATGTGCAATGGACATCCATGGCTTGAACATCCTTCACTAACTCTTTATGCTCTGTAAGGCAATATACGTAGATAATACACGGCTACTAATATAACGGTTGGTATTTAAACCTACAATTGTTTCTATTGGTCTATCTTTAAATAATGCCATAACCTTGAAGCAACTTGAGTTGATTTACCTTTTTTTGTAAGTTCACATTGTTTAACATATTAGTCAAACAAGCAATCCGTTGATTTCAAGGCCACTGGCTGGATTGGCATTTACGAGTAAACCAACTGTTGAATGTGATAATGTTATTGAGAACATTTAATAGGTACATTAAATTCATTCAAGATGTTCTAAATTTTGTAAAATGTTGTTATTGTAAAATAAGGTTAATGTCGTTGCATATTAATATTAACCTACATTGCGACGAGCTTGGAATGTAGTGCATGCGATACGACGGCGGATATTGAAATATTTCCTTCAGTTTATTTCATAGAATTACTCGACTTCTATTTAAATTAAATAAAAAGTTGTATATTATTATATTCCCTTGCAATTTTTGAGTGATAATAACTAAAAAGTTTTATTTTGACTTGCATGCAATGTTAAGCAGTTCTGGTTTGGTAATTTTATTTAATAATAAATAAACGTAGACTTTAGAGACGGATGTCTGAGATGCCTGAGATGCATGCCGAGAGGCCGATAATGGAGAAGCTACGCTACATTATTATATCACATTAATTATTGTACCTACCCATTTTCGTAATAAAGTAATTTGAATTGGTATTTGGATTTTTAATTGAAGTTTATAGTAAAGGTAGAAAAAAATAGATTTATTGCAATTGATTTAAACAAGAAGACCACTCATGGCTGTTGACAATTTCAGTTCGCGAGATGAAACAGCTATAAAGCAACTGACCATAAAGTATTTCGTCATGTCTTCATCAAATTGTAGGAAACGAGTTAAGAATGAAAAAAAATATTCGTTACCATTTTTTTTCTTTTAAAATGATGTCATAATTTGCTAAAACAGAGCGCTTTGTTTTATTTTATAGCCAAGAAGTTAGAAATGTACCGAAACAAAGTTATGTGTTTACTTGTATTTTTAAGTAAAAATAGGAAAAATAGGTTTTATTCGAAGACAAGAAAAAGACGAAGAATCTGATTAAGGTAGAGAGCGGGGTAAAGATATATTCAACACTGATAGTGTCATTACAAGCTCGTTAAGATATTTGGCAACTTCGCTTTATTTAGGTTTACATGAAATCTAATGGCTTAATTGCGGTGTAAAAAGATACATACTCGTATGTTATAATTTTATGGAAAAAATTAAGAGTTATTTTTCTGTCCTTCGGAAACTGAAACAACGAAACAAAACTTCATGTATGGATAATTTTTTTATCAATAAAATTAAAGTAAGTGAATCCGAAACCCGTACAACACTTATTATTCAAAAGTCTCGGTAGACACCTGTGTTCTTTCTTCGTTATCAATTTCATTTCACCGAATGGTTTTATAGAGCAACTCCGTAAAATACCGTAAAAAAATATGAAATCCCTATAAGTTTGCCAGTAACATTTCCAGAGTTCTATCATTTACTCCAGGATCACATCATCGAGTCTTGACTTAATTATAATAGGCCCATATTATAGTATGACAAATTAAAGTGGTTGCAAAGCTTTATTAAGGAACTAGTAAAAACCAGTTGGTGTGGTCGCTGTCTTATCATTTTTTCAAGTCAAGTCCGTGTCGTCTTTAATACTTATCTACAATATGATTGCGTTAACCTACTACTTATTAGGTCTACAAAGATATCTTGGTAGCGATTGCGATTTCTTCAAATCTGGAATATAAAATGGTTATTGAATGACTTAAAGAACTATAATCGTCATAATTAGTTGGTTTATGTTTATTTTCACATCCTTACTTAGTCATTCTAATAAATGTTAGTTTTAAAATCTATAAAGACTTGTTTGATTTTTATTGTATGGTGTTAACAAATGGTATGAACAAATAAATTATTTTGACGCTTCATTTAATTGTACCAAGCAATTCACACTATCCTCAACCAAATATTAATTATTTTGCTGTAATAAATTCATAAAATAAATGTTCGTTCATTTAAACGGTGTTTTGTAAGATAAAGTTCAAATTCAATTATAGATGAAGAAAACAGAACAAGAGGCCTGAGAAACAAAGAAAAACTGTGTTTGAAAAAGAAATGTTTGTAACTTGTGTTACAAACATTCTTTTATGCTTAGGTAATTTTAAGAAAAGAACAGAAAAGAAAAGAAACAGGTTAATAGAAAAAAAAATTACAAACATGCGTAAATTTTGCAGTACAAGATACTTGTTGTATTTATTTTTAATTAAAAAATGAATTCTTTGTAAAAATGTACGTGTTACCCCTGCCGTTGGCTTAGCGCCACTCGTTGACCCAGGCAGGTATAGTAACGTATATAATACAGTTTATGCGAGTCAAGGCCGACAACCTCGTGTGCCTGGTTGAGCCGCGATTCACCAGAGTTCAGTTGACAATATTCGCTATGCGCCGGCGTCGAGCACGCGGCCCGTAACATTACAACCTTTAATCTTGCGCACAATTGATAAATGTAAAATACAATATATTCGATAAAGATAGTTACGCGTGTCACTGTACTTCTTACAGTCGTTGTTGTGTGTTGTGTATAAAATATGTAATTAGTAGTGATTTGCAAGTGAATTCAGCGCTGTTTCATTGGATTGTATTTTCCGATTCAAGTTTAAGAGGACTTTATGTAAGTTGGAATATATAAACTAACCATCATAAATAACAGTGATTATTTTTGTATTATTTATAATTAATTTATGTAAGAAATGTTAAGCTTTTATTTATTTCATAGAATATATACTGTTGATTTATTTGGCTATTCGCATAAAAGGAATTATTATTATAAAAAATAATATCATAATTCTACCCTAACTTGTTTGCTTTTTATCTACGCCTTCTACCACATTGCACTTGATTAATAAATAACATGTTTTAAGTATATTTCATTCGTAATTCTAACTTCAGGAGGTTAGTATAGTAGGTATAGTATCTAATAACACAAATGCGTAAGTGGGTTTACTTATTTGTTTCGCTTTTACGCTTTAATTACTTCTCCGATTTTCATGAAAAATCCGAAAGGAATGAATTCTTTCTTTTTTTAAAAGACAACTCCTGCACTAGGAATATATCCTGTGCCGCGAAGGACTTTACAAACATACATATAACGGACACAAAGAATACCCAGACTTAGAACGACAATTTCTGGATCACACAAACTGTCCTCCCACGTGGGGATCGAACTCACAACATTCAGCGTTGCAGGAAGCGGCGTGGCGACCGCTTAAACAACTATGCCATCCGTGCAGTCAAACATTATATGCAAGAAAAAAGGGTACTGATCTCAAGGGTTAATAAATTTATTTACATTTAAGTGAAATAACCTGAGGGCAATAGCTGGTTATGCATAAATCAAAATCACTAAATATGAATAAAGAAAGATAGAGTTTCTATGAGGAGGCTCATTAAAATGATTAGGTATAACTAATACTATTACCTTGAATATATAAAAGACCAAGTTACGGGAATCATAAACATATAACACACAATTTAACAGATTGGGTTTATTTGAAAATATGTTAAAATTATAAATACTCATTATGTTACTTCCACATTACATTTATTACAAAAAAAAAACTGCACGACAAATGATCTTCAACTTAACGAATGAACAGAAATACCGAGGCCAACATTTACGGCTTTAACCCTCAAATTATTAAACAGGGACGTATTACAACTGTCGTTTCCTATATAAATATTAAGTTTTTTTTTATTGCTATCGTTGACACAATGAAACCTTGCTAACACATGATTACCAAGAACAAGTAGTTGAAGTACCGATTCTTCAATTATCTAAGTCTAGACTAATGTTTTTTACAACTAATTAAAACCATCGATATTTAGATACTTTGCATAGAAATCTTGGTTTTTCATTAGCAGCATGTTTAATGGGTTCCGGGTTTACAATACTATTTACATTTGCATAAAATTAATTCGTTAAGTATATAACTTTTGTGGGGAAATTCATTTTATTTTTTTTAAAAGACAGTGTTCCTGCACGAGGAATAATATTCTGTGACGCGGGGGACTTTACAAACATACATGAAATGGACACAAATAACATCCAGACTCAGAACAACAATTTGTGAATCACACAAAGTTGGTCCCGTGTGGGGATCGAACCCACAGCACTCTGCTAGTAGAAAGAAGAGGCCATATCACTCGTAACTGCTTCTCAAAGTTACGAGTGATATGGCCGAAAAACTAGTAGGCCGAATTTCCACCAGAGTTATCTGAAGTAATTAAATGATGTCTAGGAGAAAATTCACAAGAAATGAAGGCCTGTCAGGCGATTGCGTGGTTTCCTAGTTAGCTTTCTCGTAAAGCGTTGAGTCGTAGAGTGTTTGGTAGAAAAATATCTTATGTAATTTTATTAAAACTGATCTAATCACATCAAGATGTTGCGAACGTCTCATCTACCACACTAAGTTAATTTGTAGATACAAGGTCAAAATGAGAAGATACAAAGTTTTATGGGTACCAATCTAAAACGGGTCTATGTTAATGAGCAGATTGACCGGTCTATTCAACTTTTCTTTAAATTGTGGATACATTTATTATGCAAAATTATATTATGTATTTTAATACATTCCTACTCTATATTTAATTATTGTACCACCGGCTAAATACAAATTGAAAATATTAACATTAAAAAGATGAATAATACGAGTTAAGTAGAAACTTTTAATTAATGCCCTAAAAAGATCATAAAAACTTTATAAAATTCACATTAGTGCTTGTCTTTGGAAGAGTTGTTTGTATTTATATGTTGGAAGTTGATGGCCTTGATGTGCATCTGTATACAGAGTTTCACTGAGGAAGCGGTGGATGAATTATATTAAAAATAAAATATAGTAAGTTTTTTTTTGACCGGGTGGAAATTCCCTTCGGATTTAGTAAACAAGCCTTTAATCCCTACAACAAAATACGATTGAGCATGTTGCATAACATAATTTGAAACGGCAACTAAATTGCAATTTATGGATATTTTGCGTTAAAGTAGAGAAGGCGAAATTGAAAATAGTAAGAAGTGCGTGATAAGGTTTTACAATTACAAAATTAGTTCTTTCTTCTTTTTTAAAAGACAACTCCCGCATTATGAATATATCCTGTGTCGCGGGGGACGTTACAAACATACATGAAACGGGCACAAAGAACACCCAGACTCAGAACAACAATTTGTGGATCAGACAAAGTGTCGTCCCACAACACACAGCGTAGTAATGAGTTGTGTGGCGACCGCTTAAAGCACTACGCCATCCGTGCAGTCAATTGCAGTTGAATTGTTAGTTAAACCATAAATTGTGAATTTTAGCAATTCAGGCTAAGGTTTTGGGCGATATAAATAAATAAATAAAATATCCTTATTGCAGACATATAACCAGATATTCACAAGATTATGTTTGTAATGATCTTTTAAGGTTGATGCCCAGCGATTGTATATTACTTTATTGGTAATTTGCAAATAGTTCTGTCAGTAAAATAATGCGTGATTATTATTTTTAATTCTTACTAAAACATATTACGATTGTTCGTTTTAATAACAACATACTTAAAGTATTAAAGTTACGCTAAATACAAAAAGAGCAATTAAATTTGTTTCTATAAGTAATGTAGGAACTCTATTATATGCTAAGGAACGGAATAGTATATGTAGATAATATATTCCAGGTATTTAATATCTAAGTCTAATATATTAGGATAGTATACAAAAAAGTACTTCAATTTGTTTGTAGTTTTTTTTAAATAAATTATCCTAAGATCTTACCATATCTACAAAAAGCAATGTCAGTTGTTGCTGTACATAAAAATCAATCACAGAGTATTTGTCACAACATTTCTGTATCGACTCGTGTCTATGACTTGTCACCTGTAAGCGGTGCACAACGCGTCATTTTATGACACGATGGGATTTTGTGATTAATAAACAATAAACTTTCCGAAGGAATTCCTTTTATCACACCTATTTACGTGATATAATACTTTTATACGTTTGTAAAAGTAACAATGCCAAATGACCTTTTTGGTATTTAAACGATAAAGTAACCAAAGTAGTAAATATATGGTACATACATGTATTGTCTGGTGTATTGGCACAAGTGGCATTTCCAACTGTTAAATTAATGATATGAAATTAAACAGACACGATATACATAAACCCTATTTCTGACTGCACAGACGTAGTGGTTTAAGCGGTCTCCACACCGCTTTCTACTGCGCTGAGTGTTGTGGGTTCGATCCCCACCTGAAACACAACTTTGTGTAATCCACAAATTGTTGTTCTGAGTCTGGGTGTTCTTTGTGTCCGTTTCATGTAAAGTCCTCCGAATCAAGATATGTATTCCTAATGCGGGCGTTGTCTTTTTTTTTTAAAGAAAGAAAATGTTATGTTATTAAATAAATATTGTCATATGTAGTTTGTTCGCTACTAAAGATATAGCCCTCGGGCTACTGGTGAGGCTAGGTCGGCTAAGTTTCAGCTTGTAAGTAATAATTAAAAAGAAATGGCCCTGGGCTCGAGGACTATACCATTCCTTTTAAAAAATATCAAAATTTATCTACATACATTTTAATATGTAATAGACCATATCATGTCTTTGCCTTTGAGTTGTCTTTTTCTATATTTCTAGTGAATTTCTGGCAGTAATATGTCTCCTGATTTTAGATAGGCGTAATTCTTAAGAATATTAAAGACTTCTATACAATTTATTAATATGACTGAGCTATTAATATACAATCAATTTGTGAGGTTAGTGTCGCTACCGCCCTTATTAACTGTTTCTCAACAAAGTTATTACTGGTATGTTTCTTGGGCACTTCAATAAGCAAAAAATAAATGTCAGTGTTAGGATAAATTAGAAACTTCAACCTCTAACTCCCATTTATAAAACTCTCTTTATACCTTCAAATAACATGTCTATAGATACCACGACAATCTATTGGTACTCAAATGTACATATGTACATCCACTAGCGTTACTTTCAAGCTTCAAGCAAAAACATTAGAGGGCTAATGTATTTATTTAACGCCTCGACCATGAAAATCACACCACGCTACGAGATTTACTGGTATATAAAAAAAAACATATTAAGTAAGATAAAATATGGGATTATTCACATTATTATTTTCCTGTCTCACATCACACATCACATCAACAGCCCATAATAGTCCTCAGCTGGACATAGGTCTCTCTTTAGAAAGGAGGTTTTGGCCTACTATAACATGCTGGCCAGACGGGTTGGTATAGGGTTTGTGTGGTTTACAGCCTCATGCCGCCCTGAGTGTGGCCGCGGGTGGACGGGGTGGGTTTCCCCTCCACCCGCATTAGTTTGGCCAGCCGCGAGGAGGCGGCGTCCGCGTGTGCCGGACGTCGCCTAAAGAGAGGAAAATATATTGAGACGGAGCCCGCACCAGGAGCGGGCTGGCGCTAGGAGGGGTCCGGATGTCTTAACAACAGCTGTTCCCGGATCCCTCCTGTTACAGGCGCAGAGTGGCACACCGTGTGGTTTTAGTCGGTCCGAGTCCGACACACCACCCCGCCGCAAACCCCGGAGGGGTGACGGTCCGAGGGGATTTCCACACGTTAAAAAAAAAAAAAAAAAAAAAAAGGGTTTGTGTGGTTTGTGTCAAGTTTTCCTGTCTACTCTTTTCTAAACTGAATTGATGTTGATATAGTTCAAATATTGCACACCCTGTCACATTTATAAACAATGTAATGGTAGTACACTCACAGCCATATGTTGTTTCAAGATATTTCTCCATATATGTACTATATTTGCACAACTCCTGTACTCCGCCATGTGTGACATTGATGCAAGGAGAAGTTTTTGTAATTTAGTAAGTTGAACCCAAGTATAAAATAACAATATCTCTTCAAATAATAAGGCAAAAAAAAACCTTTATTATTATTTTCATCTCATAGTTAGAGTGTCCACCAGAGAAAGAATGAGGATTCTTGAACAGCTATGCAATCCTACCTACAGGACCCTATCCCAATATACTATAAGTTGGGAATGTAATGTATATTTATTTTCAAAGTATGATATTAGATCTAGATGACATTGAAATATGTTTGTGTTGTCTGTGAAATTTGCCTCATGATCTTTCTTTATCAGTAAAGCCGGAGACAAAACAGTTAGATAAGATAAACAGTCCCTATCAAATCAAGTCTAATGTTTTCGATTTTAATAACCTTTTAACTGTTCAGTCAAACTATGAAATGAATTTGCTGTACTGAATACAGCATTGTCAATTACAATTTCTCGTATTACTTGGAAACAGTCATTTGTTTAACAATTTTATCTCTTAAGGTTATAGATAAGTAGTTTCCAAGTATGTAATTTTTTACAGTTTAGTTGACGTAATATAAGAATTTATTTACTGTAAACATCTTAATTAAGTTCACGTACTAATATCGTGATTGATGAAATTGTAAATTTAAAATTGATATTAGAAGTGATGTTTCAAGATCAAATTTTCTTCAAATCAAATTCTTTTTAATTAAAAAAAATTACTTTAAAGCAATTCTTCCAAATACACATTTTATTGACATCTATATTGCCGCAGATGTCCCTACGTTGATAGTGAACGTTCGATCGGATCATTTTATAACTTATATTTTTAATAGGATAAGCGCATATAAACTAACAAACATACCATTGGTAACCAAAAACTGCGGTAGCGAGAGCGAAAAAAGGCTCAATTCAAAGCTCAAAAGAGGGCTCAACAAAAAAGACTCCATTATTAATACCACCAGTGACTGGACCTTATAGTGGACACGTATGAAAATCATTACAGAATACCTTAGGATATCTGTGCCTCGGCGTCCAGACCGGACATATTTCTTTATACCGTATCAACCAAGCGTGTAGTACTAGTAGAACTCACGATGCTGTGGAAAACGAACATCCCTAAAGACCACGTTTTAAAGTACACAAGTACTTTGACTTAACCAACGAAATAACTAAAAATGGTTATTCCGTTGCGTTGTATGCCACACGGTATTACCGTGTGGTGATGGATTTACCGTATGGTGACGGATTCAGAATACAGAGTGTCACCACCCCTATTCATCCCGTGGGTGTCGTAAGAGCCGACTAAGGGAGAAAACTACGCAGAACAACAGCACTGCGGTAGAACTGAAGGAAAACTTGACACAAACCCTTTTTTTTTTACGTGTGGAAATCCCCTCGGACCGTCACCCGCCGGGGCTCTCGGTCGGCGGGGCGGTGTGTCGGACTCGAACCGACTAAAACCACACGGTGTGCCCTCTTTGCGCTTCCAGTTTAGGAGGGGTCCAGGTAGTTATCGCCTTCTGGACCCCTCCCAGCGACGGCCCGCTCCTGTTGCGCGCTCCGTCTCAAAGTTTCCTCTCTTTAGGCGGCGTCCGGCACACGCGGACGCCGCCCCCTCGCGGCTGGCCAACTAATGCGGGTGGAGGGGAGAACCCATCCCGTCCACCCGCGGCCACACTCAGGGCGGCATGAGGCGCAGGTAAGCGCGCCTCCGCCGCCCGGTTCGCCGGCGGCGGATCAGGTCCGAGTGGAGGTCGTCCTCCCTGGCCTTCTCCGCCGCCTCCTTCTGCGAGATTACCTCCTCGCAGAAGGTTGCGACCGCGGTAAAACAACCGTCGCTACCGGCCATGGAGCGAATTACGGCCGGTAGCGAGAGATCCATGCCCACGCCCATGCGGGGCAAACCGCCAGCGTTTGCTGGGCCGAATCCTCACTGCAGTCGCAGTGGTGGCAGGCGGGACTCGATTCCCTCCTAGCGACCGAGTACAGGTACTTTCCGAAGCAACCGTCTCCAGCCGGAACGACCATCTGACCATGGTGGCTCGGCGAGCGGCTTCGCGCCACTAGCGCACGTCTTCGGGCGGAGGGCGAAATCCGCTCTCCGCCTGGAAGTCAGCCACTCGCCGATAAACTTCTGCGAGCACTTCCGCCTCCAAATCCCACGGGAGTGTTCCGGCCAAGGCGCAAGCCGCCTCGATGGACACCGTGCGGTATTCGCGTATGGCTCTGACCGCCAATATCCTCTGGGGGCGCCAGAGGCGCGCCCTATTCGGGGCGGTCAGAGCCGCCACCCACACCAGTACACCATAAAGCGCCATAGACCGGACAACCCCCGCGTACAGCCGCCTCGTGGGAACACTGGCTCCGCCCAAATTGGGCAAAAGTCGCCCTAGGGCGGAGGCAGTGTCCACCAGCTTCGGACCAAGCTGTCGGAAGTGCTCGTCGAAGAGCCACCTACCGTCTAGGACCAGACCCAGGTACCTCATCTGGGCCCGGACCGGTACGAGGACCGAGCCGACCTCGATTGAGGCGCCGGCGGGTGGACCACGACGGGGCCCATGAAATAATAGGGCCTCCGTCTTATCCAGGGCCACCCGCAAACCCAATGCCTCAATGCGCCCGACCACCAGGGAAACTCCCGTGGCGGCCAGGCTCGCCGCCTCCTGGAAGTTAGCCCCCCGGGCCGTGAGTAAGGTGTCATCCGCGTAGCAGATTACACCCAGCCCGGGGGGGAGACGCCCTCGTAGGGCCCAGTCGTATCCAATGTTCCACAGATCGGGGCCAACCTCGCAAAGGTGCCGGACGATGCGGGCAGAGAGCACCCTCTCAAAAAGTTTGCCCGCCTCGTCCAGCAACACGATAGGCCTATAGGCCGCGACCGATTCGGCAGGCCGTCCCGGCTTCTGCAGCAGGACCAGCTTCCCGCATTTCCAGCGCTCAGGGAAGCGTCCGGACGCCAGGCTAGCGTCCAACACCCCCCTGAGGTGGTCCGACATGTAGTCGAGGGCTCGGGCCATCACTCGGGCTGGAACCCCGTCCGGCCCGGGGGCGGTGTTCTTGGATCGAATCCGTAGAACAGCCGCCCCCAACTCCGATTCCCTGACGGGCGGAACATCAACCTCGCTACCCCCGTCGTCTCCGGCTGATGCAGCCATCGACGGGGGTGTGTGCTCCGCCCGCTGCGGGAATAGGCCCTCGACCACTTCCTGCAGGAAGCTGGGCTGGAGAGTCTCCGTAAGGGGGGGGCCTGACGTGCGGAGCTTTTGACGCACCGCACGATAAGGGCGACCCCAGGGGTCACGCTCGAGACTCTCCAGCATCTCCTCTCTACTCACATCTTTGGCGCGGCAGATGGCCAGCCTCAGAGTTTTCCGAGCTTCTCGGTACTCCTCATGAAGCCGGTCCACCTCCTCACCTCGGTGAAAACCCTATACCAACCCATCTGACCAGCGTTGTATAGTAGGCCAAAACCTTCTTTCTAAAGAGAGGCCTATGTCCAGCACTATTAAAGGCTATTAAGGACTATTAAAGGCTGTTGGTGTGATGTTGTATGCCGTGGAAGTGGGTGCAAGGGGTATGTCAGTTAAATCCCTCTGTAACCTGCTGAAATACCTTTGATTGCCAAGAGCTTCGGTAAGCTCTTTCCTAGAACGAATATCCAAAGCGGCATTGCTAGGCTCATATCAAATATAACCATATTAGAGGTAGAGGGGGTAAAACAGAAGACAGTGGATGTGAGCGCTGACGCGTCTCAAGCAATTCGAAGTCGCATGTGTTGCTCCCATCTATCACCCGCATGGTGAATCCATGGAACGCTAAGAAAAAGGTCTGAGTAGGTTTACCGCGATATCTTTTGACCGATAAGCGTACCTAGTTTTAGATACGCTAATCGGTCATAAATCATATTGCTGATAATTCACAAAAATTGTGTTTCTTTCTAATTCTGTAGAGAAGTTTTTATACTAAACATTTTTTAACCATGTACAACCTGTTAACAAAAAGGCCATCAAGGGACTGGTACTGGACAACCACATAACTGAAATTTACTTTAAAAAGGATCATCCACTTCGATGAAGAACACACGATTCTTTCTGTCTGTCTAAAAAACAGAACTATCAAGTACTAAACGTTGCCTGGTTAAAATTGCAAAATATCTTATTGCCACATAAAATTAAACAATAACTAAATATTTTACCTTCAATCACTTGTTACCGCCCTGGCGCTCTACTTTATAGCAGTGGTTAAAATCCATGGTTAGGTGATATGGTGTTTTTAATTTGGGGAATATAGTAAACTGTAAGGGTATTTTTAATAAATCGGAAAATCCGAAACCACAAGCAATCAATATAGGGTGATGTCATAGGTCGTCAGTCAGACATCTTACCCACTTCGCAACTAAGGGTGACGGGGGTTTTATGTGAATCACAGATACTTGTTTATGTGTATCTTAAGTTACAAGTAATACAGGGATAAATTTCTAGGGTAAGCATAGGTCCACGATGTTATGTAGAACCTACAATACAAAGTTATGATCGAAGCCCTAGTCAAATCAACCCGGGACAAATACAATTACACTAAAAAATACTAAAGCAACTTTCTCTATTTTCAGAAAAGAAGATTTGTTGATAAAAATTTCAAACTGACAACAAAATGGAAGACCAAGAAGCGCAAGTGCAAGCTCATAAGCTTCTTGGACAGAAAACTCAGATACCCCAGCGGTACGACAATGCATACACAAGAGCTGTTCGATCTTGTAAGTACTGTTATTTTATTTTCTTCTTTTCTTCTTCTTTGAGTTCTTCATCGATTATAATACAAATACCAGATGAATACGTTAATATATAATAATAAATTTATTGATACAAAAGTGTTAAAACAGTGAAACATAACAGACACACTAGGTGTTTACAGTATTATACGCTAAAGTTGTAAAAGTTACATAATATTGACATAAATTTACTTTTTCTCTTAAACTAGGGTACGTCTAGCCAGGTTTCAGTTGTAAAGGATTACAATAATGATATATAATATATGTGACTGGTTATCTACGACTGCATATAATCGCTTAAAATATCTAAATACTTGGCTGAGAGTTGATCCGACATGTTGTGAGTATGTTTAAGAAGACTGTATGGATGAGAAAAGTCGTTAAATAGAACGCCAGTATTGTAACCACTACTAAGGGAAGAAGAATAAACAGCTTATTCGCCCTAAAGCGATCTAAGTGGCGTGCAATGGGAGAGGCCAATGTCCGGCAGTGGACTGCGATAGGCTGATGATGATGATGATGAAACAGCTTATTATGATACTGTATTTATGTTATATACGAGTATAACAGCAACATACAGTATAATAATACATACATACAGTATACATAAATACAGTATCATACTGATACTGTATTTAAGATTTCCGAAATTATTTTAAACAAAGTTAAAAAAACTATCAAGCAGAATGTAAGTAGGGTCACATACTGTAGGTACATTAAATGTGATAATTTTCTTTTAACTAACACTACTAGTGCACTAGTACTATATGACTGTAGGTACATTCGGCTGACGTCAAATGATCATTGTTTTTATTTTCAGATACTAATTATCTGAAAATATACTAATTTAAGAAATAAAATACCTATTGCAAAATATTCATATCATTTGCTATTATGGATGAAATGGTATTATGTGTGTATAAATGTATGTAACATTCTATGTACTTATAAAATTCGTAATACGCAGCAGTACATTGGTAACATCTGTTCTTTACATAATGTTTTGATAAATGAACACATCGCAAATTTAATGACGGAATATTATACTTTAGTTTCGCAGATATATAATATGGTTCAATGATCATTAAATGCTCTTACTGGAATTTCTATACGTCTTACAAAACAGTAAACTCTAATAGTCGACGTTAAAGGTTAATTAGCTTACAATCAATATAATTGATGTGAAAGCAAGCTGAAGTAAAAATACTCTATTATAATCTTGCTGGAAGACTCACTGCTTAAAAGAAATTGAAAACAAGTTACTGCAAAAAAAAAACAAAATGTGGGTGAAACAGTTTATTGTATAACAACAATAGCAAAAAAACCATATGCCATATCTGATAGTGAAAAAGGAATTCGCGCTGACGAATTAACACATACACAAAATTGTGTTTCTGTGTGTACAATCAAATCACATCAACAGACTTTACTAGTCCACTGCTGGACATAGGCCTCTCCTCAAAAAGGAGGTTTTGGCCTAGTATACTACGCGGTCCAGACGGGTTGCTATAGACTTTTTTTTCAATTTTTACTTCTCTTTGCAGTACTATTGTCCTGCGTAGTTTGCTCCCTTTGTCGGCTCTTACAACACCCACAGGATAAATAGGGGTGGTGACACTCTGTATTCTTAAGCCGTCACCTCATGGAGACTTGTTTATTGTGTTGCTAATATTATTAAAAATGTTAATTGCGAGGGCTCTTTTAGATTCTAAGGATACAGGAATCTTAATAAAAACTGGGTTTGTAAGAAGAACACGGACTTAGCAGTTTCTTTTTACTTTATTACCTACACCATTTTTAATTGTTTATGTCGTATTTTTATATAATACGTAATCAATATTTAAATATTTATTATTCTCTTTTAAGTATATTTTCAAACTTTATTTAAGACATTTTATTTTGACGGACCTGTTGGTCTAGCGGCTAGTGACCCTGACTGCTAAGCCGGAGGTCGTGGGTTCGATTCCCACACAGGACAAATAATTGTGTGATGAGCACGATGATTTGTCCGGCGTCTGGGTGTAATTTATCTATAATATGTATGTATTTAGAAAGACATAAGTATGTTTATCAGTAGTCTGGTTACCATAGCACAGGCTCTGCCTGGTTTAGAATCAGACTGCCGTGTGTGAGATATGTAATCATATTAATTACTTTTTACATAACTAAAAAGGTAATGTTCTGAGCGCTCCACACTTTCTTAAATCGATTTCCGTTACGACAGATTTTCTGAAGGTCTGAATTTTATAACTCGCCCAACATTGCTGTAGTCTCTTTGAAATGTTTTTGATGTAAGTACAACAACGAAGGATATTATTTTTATTATAGGTATTTTTTTAATAACCTTTTATTAACATTTTGCCATCGTCCCTAAATATTATACATATGCAGAAAAACTTAACATGAGTTATTTAAATATGCTAGAAATTACAAGTTGAAAAATCTTTAACAACAGATTCATTAACATTTGTAGCCTAATTAAAACGAGGAGTCACAGATCAAGTTCATTTAACAAATAAAAATAAACATGCTGGTTTACTAATGACCTACTTTATATTACAATTTATGAATCAGCGTGACCACAACACATATTTATACCAAACCGCAGTTCGAAGGCCCAAGTGTGAGTTTATTTCACATCTACTTATCGTCACGGTGACCGCGTTCGTCGCTGCGATTGGCCAGCATTGAAATCTGCACCAACCGCAAAGCCGAAAGCGCCCATGTCAAAAACGGCTTGATATTAAATATACTCACACTTGGGCCTTTGTGTGATAGGTATGTAAGCAGTCCATGTGTTAGTGTATCAAATATAATTCATATCATGGCTGCCTACTTCATCTGTCTCCTTCACTGACTGGTCGATATATCATGTTGGCAGTTACTTATTGGATTGATTTGAAGAATGTATACAAATCTCTTAAACAGTCATATTTACAAAGTCTTAAACCCGATGTATACTTGGAATTGGCAAATTACTGTAAATATGTACTTTGTTTAGTAATACAGTTAACTATAATATTTCAGAATATTTAAAGTAAACATTATATAGAGCTTTGTTCATATTTACTTATTTTTAAGAGTATCTTTACATTGTACTGTACGTACAAAATATAAGTGTGGGTACTGGCATAGGCAGAACTTTGCAGGCATCACATGGTAATGAAACCTAAAGATAAATTTATATTTCATGGTAGCACAACCAACGAGAACAAACCAAATCAAAGTGAATTCATTTTCAAATAATATAACGCTAACAAATTCATACATAAGACATAAGACGTTGACACACAACAATGTACAAACAAACATTAGCATTTTAGTCTAACTGCTAAACGTGAATGAAGTAGGAATGTAGCTTTAATACTACATAACGGTGTTTACGTGCGTGATGTAATCTGAATTTAAATGTATGCTAAGTTAGCAAATTAATATGAATACCACCCACTCACGAAAATTTATCTTTTAATGCCAATATGTTTTTAATTGTTAATAGCAAAAACATAGAGCTATGATATTTAATAGGCCAATCAATAAATATATTGTAAAATACTATAGATATTTAAGGTAGCCTTTGTGAAAGGAAAATAAACAAATAGTATTTACGAAATATACATACCATGGATTAAGTGCAGCACAAAAAAAAGATATTATTTTATTATTCAATAAACTGCTTCTGGCAAGCATAATGTATAGAACCAAATAAACTTAATGGCATACAATAAAACTTCATTGTATAATAATACAACTGGATGTGCATACAAAACACATTAAGCTATATCATATTACTCTATATTATGAGCTTAATTAGGTTTTGTCTAGCGCATGAACTCGGCAGGTTAATAACTGACCTTTCGTTCAGCTAATACGTACCTACATATTTTGTGTATCGTGGAACAAGGTAATTGCAAAAGGTGCACGAACATTATACGAACAATAGAATTTCTGAGCTCAGCTTTCTTTCAGCTACATGGTGTTTATTTGTTTAATGCGCGAGTTTGGTTAATTTTCAATAGTTATTATTGAAGCAGATTATTAAAAGTGTTTTGATTTTGGAATATTGATTCGTATAAAATGTTGTCCATTATTACTTTAGTTTGGTTTATTATATTATATATAACCAAACTAAAGTAATGATATTTAATCTACTTCGAAATTAAATGCAGTCAACTGTACTTTAATATTTCTTGTGTAATATGCGATTTCAATTTTTATTATCCCTATAGGTTGCATAAGTAGGTGGCAGGCACTACCAGAAAAAAAAAATCATCATCATCAACAGACTTTACTCGTCCACTGCTGAACATAGGCCTCTCCTTAGAAAGGAGGTTTGGCCCTACACACCACACTGGCCAGACGGTTTAATATAGGGTTTGTGTCAAGTTTTCTTGCTCTTTGCAATGTTGTTGTTCTGCGTAGTTTGATCTCTTAGTCGACTCTTACAACACCAACGAGATGAATAGGGCTGGTGAAATAGTATTCTTAATCTGTACCACACGGATAAAAAAAGCAAACCATCAATAAAAAAAAGTGGCGTAGTTAAAACACATTAATGTAAGTGGTTATTTTTTCAAAACAAGTAATAATTAAATTAGTAGAATTATATCTATTTTAATGTATAATGATTCCAAGATCTCTTCGATTAGTCGTAATTTATGAGTTTGATACAATATGAAACAACAGTGCTTGTTTTACTCAAACAAGAAACCGTTTGGATACGAGACGAGATTTATGCGCGTCGCCAGCCATTCTCTTGAAGAGAAAGTAATAAATTATAATGCGACGAGCAGAAATACCCATTTACTTTATTTTAATGTTGACTCTATTAATATAAACTCTTTACTTCAATTTTTTTCCTTTCATTATTGAAAAAATACTTGTAATTTTTATGTAATGTGATCATTATAAATTGCCAATATAGAATGTATTGATAAATTACGTTAATTCAGAATTAAATATATGTCACACACTTGAGTCATAAAAGA